TGTTCTGTGTTGGGTTGTGCCGGGATTGAATGATTGGGATTGCACTGACTTGATCTGTTTTCGTTTATTGCGAGGGTGGGGGTGGAGCGGTGAGAGGGGAGGAGAGAGATGAAGCAGTAAGTAAGGATGAAATTTCAGAAATTCAGACCGAGAGATTGAGGGAGGCTGAAATTGAAAAGAAAGAGAGAGAGGGAGGGGAAGGGGGGGGGTAGACCGTAGAACAGAGTGAGGAATGACATAATTGACGTTCTAGTTGAACAGAAAAGATACGACTTCGAATATATTTACCTCATTTATTAAAACACTTTTATTGATGGATATCGATTTCTACTTGAATAAACACCTCAAATGTACATTATTCAATAAATAAACAAAAACAGAACATTATGTTTTGTCCTCTGAATTTATTCAACACAGACTGGCACAAGCTTCCCTTCAGGGTAACTCGCGACAAACTACGACTTCAATTTCCCCGTTTTTTTAATTACTTTTTATTTTTGGATATCGATAGTTATTTTTTCGAATATTCACATCTCATGCACAACATTAAGCAAGGAAACACTCAAATAATTTTTTGTTTGCAGTTATTCAACAGAGACTGGCACAAGCTCCACTTCCATGTAACTCGCGATAAAATACGACTTCCATTTCCCCCGGGGGTTTTTTTTCACTTTTTATATTTGGACATCGATAGTTACCTTTTCGAATAAACACACCTCATGCACAATAAGTAAGCAAACACTCTTTTTTTAAATCTGCAGTTATTCAACGGAGACTGGCACAAGCTCCACTTCAGTGTAGCTCGCGACTTCCATTTCCCCTTTTTTTTAAATTCGTTTTATTGTTGGATGTCTATAGTTATCTTTCCGAACAAACACATCTCATGCACAATAAGTAAGCAAACACTAAATCTTTCTATCTGTCTGCAGTTATTCAACAGAGACTGGCACAAGCTGCACTTCAGTGTGACCCGCGACAACATCGAGATGTACATCGACTGTAAGCCTATCACGTCACAGCCTCTACCGCCCAGACGCCAGATTGATCTGAACGGCGATATCCTGCTGGGGACAAAGGACGATGATGGAACAACAGTGCCGGTCAGAAAGTTATCATAATCTGGATTCTGTTTCGATGATTTTTACTGTCATTATGTGAATGTTCTTTAAAGCCCACATGCAAAGACCTGAGAAAATTAAACAGAGGGAATTGTTTGTATCTTGATTCATCCGGGGGCTGATGAAAATGACCAAGCAGATGAGATCAACAAAAATAGAGCTTCAAAAAAAAGACATTTTGTAAAGGGAAATAATCAACTATTTACTATAAAGTTGTTGAATTGTTTCCCTTTGATTAAATGGAAATAAGCCTTTATCTTGAGATAGTTGTTTCCATTTAGATACATCGTTTCCAAGGGGGGGGGGGGGGTAGGGTTGGGTTTTTTTGTTTTTTTGTTGTTGTTTTTTTTGGGGGGGTAGGGTTGTTGTTTTGTTGTTGTTGTTGTTTTTTTTTTTTGGGGGGGGGGCAGTTGCATAAAGCGGCTATTTGAAATGGGAAGTTTTTTTAGTAGTCGTTTCTCTGAATTTTGCTTTGTCCATTAACCCCTTCTTGGTTTCCCGGTTTTTTTTTCAGTTTGAGCTGCAGTGGATGCTGCTTGATTGCGACCCGTCCAAACCAGAGAGAGAAACTTGTGATGAGCTTCCCCCGAAATCAGTAAGTTCCCCAAAATTCTAATGCTTCATTAAGCATTTTTGCTTGGCATTGCAAGGGATTGTTTTTTTCTGGAGAGCTTCTTGGGTTGTTTATGTAAAAATAATATGGTCTTTGAAATGGTATGCAGAGAATTGTGTATGTTCCATGTGATGTTTCTAGTATACACTATGACGCTATGATGATAATATGGCAAAGGGGGCACACGCACGTAGATGCCAAGAGAATGATGAATTGGTGAAAATATTAGTAATACAATTTGTTATTATCATTATCATTATCATTTTCATTATTATTATAAATTATTTTTATATTATTATTAGTATTAGTATTAGTAGTATTGTCATCTTTATTACTATAATCTTATTATTATTCTTGTTATTATTCTTGTTA